GATCATGTGTACCAGGAATTTCTGATGAACTATCATGTGTTAGATATAAACGTGATACTTTATCGAAAAGTATTTCATAACCATTAGCTACTAAATAAGTATAATTTTATATTTAATATAACTACCATCAAACAGCATAACGTGCTATTTTACCATTAGCTAATTAAATTTGGAAGTAAATCATGACGAAGACATCGATCATATGATAATATTAAATAACGAGCTTGTTCATATCTATGAGTTAATAAAATAAGACCACGTAATGATATAAATGTATTTCTACCCCAATTTCTCCATATTCCACCAGCAATATGTGGAAAACCTACAGCTAATGATAGACATAATTGAATAAGTTCAAATGTTTGTTCATCTTTTCCTTCTAATGGACGAGGTTCACGTAAATTAGGTGATAATAATGGTAAACGTGCATTATGTAGATAATTTATTTAATTGAATAGTCGATTGTGAAAGTTGACAAAGAAAATTTGATGATTGATTTATAAATGGACTCATTAATTCCTAACTATATGTTCAATTATTATATTACATGATCCATAGTTAATATTAAATAAAAATAATATGGAATCATTAATAAACGAGATAATCTTGATACATAATCAAATAGATTTTCATATCATGAATTCCTAACTAAACGTTTATTTTTTGTTTAAAACGAAAAAAGAAAAACGCTGTTTTGTATTTTGAAGAATTGTCAATCTATTCGCAATATATTCCATTAACCAATTTCCTTGTTTTAAATTATTATAAAATGTATCTTTAAGTTGATTAAATAAGCGAATTTTATGTATTAATAAGATGAATATATAAGATTTAAATGATATTTATATATGAAATACTGGAAACGTAGAAAAATTGTTTTAGTTAGTGAATAAATTTATTTTAATGACAATTTTCGATCTTTGTTTATTTGACGATCATTTTCAATCTTAATACCACAAAACTTTGAAAACAGATATTACAACAGAAAATATATATATCAAATACAAAATAAGGAAAAAAACAGGGCAAGAATATATATAATACACAATGTTAATGTTAGTACTAATTATCAATACACAGTGTTGGTGTTGGTGTTGGTGTTGGTGCTAATATCGATACATCATGTGAATGTTGGTACTGTTACTAATGAATTATATTATTATTTTATTAAAATTATCCCTTATACATTAAATATTTCACATAGATATACATGTTTCCATCGTTTATGATGTTCAAGTCACTGATGTCCAAGTTAATGCAATCTTATTATATATTATCGTCCTTTCCCTTTTTCTTATTTTGTATTTGATATATATTTTTTCTGTTGTAACATCTCTTTTCAAAGTTTTGTGGTATTAAGGTTGAAAATAATTGTCAAATAAACAAAGATCGAAAATTCCCATTAAAATAAATTTATTCATTAACTAAAACATTTTTTCTACGTTTCCAGTATTTCATATATAAATAAACGAATTTTATCTAAAATTGATATTTGTCCATGATTACCAGAATAAAAAACAATTTCCATAATTAGATATTAAATAAAAATAAAAATCTTTTCCATGATAAAGAATACGATCAAGATCAACTAATATTAATTTATGAATTATTTGATTAGATTGACTTGTTCAATATTTAAATTGATTTAACATTTGTTTTGTATTAATAACTAATTGATGAATATGTGGAAGAAGTTATATTTCTAATAATATACTTCAATCTGATTGAAATTATTCTGTAAATTCAATTATTCGAAAAGCAACATAATCAGATGAATTGGATGATGAATGTTAATTTAATAAAACGAATATTTTTTTCTATTGAAATTTTTTCATTTAAATATATATTTAAATATTCATTTGATCTTTCAAAAAAATTTATCTTCTTTATTATTTATTAATCTTTCAAATATTATTTTTCATTGATTATTCCTTCAATTAATAATGGACTTATACGAATATTTTTATCATTTTCATCAATAAAGAGGATATATTAACATTAACTATTAATAATATCGATTTATGCTTTTCAAGATAACAACGTCTTAAGGGGATCCCCCCCTTTCCGGCGTTTCTAAGAAACGGCCAATCGAAAATTCCTGAAACTTTCAGGGTAGATAGGTCTCGAGTAGTAGAGCAAAAGTTATCATGGGCACAGATTTGCCAGACCTCATCTTCATGGGGTTCCAGAGACCCCAAGGTCAAAAACTTGCAAAAAGTTTTCCCCCCGCAAATCCACAGATTTCATCCGTTTGAGCTGAAATTTTTACTGTGGGTAGACGGACCCAATCGGGGTGGCCGTTTTTTTTTTCAAAAATTCCAAATACTTCAGA